CGTTAGCGTTAGCGTGCTGTGTTTGTGGAGGGTTAAATATTAATTAAAGGGAAGCTTGCAACAGCTCTGCCACAGAGCGGTGGGCAACCACTACTCACCCCCAACCCAAGTGCCACGTGTGTGTATGTGTGACAGAGATTAAAGGGGCTGCTGAGGAGGTTTCAGGAAAAGCTTTTTGAGAAAAATCGCTTCTGGTGGAGGGGTTATGGAGTGGGATGTTAGCAGCATCTCCAGGGAGGCAAAGGCTTGACGGAAAATCACTGTGATGAGTCATTATAATCCATCAGTGAGATAATCCACCCCCCATCAAAGATAACAGCAGCAACCTTTGAAATGAAAATAGACTTTTTTTAAAAGCATTATCTGTCTAGACTGCTATGTCTCCACTAGAAAAGACAACTTTAAAAGCTAATGCTAGGATAAAGAAGCTAAAGGAATTCAGCTGTGCACGTTGGCTTGACGGCAGAGGATCAATCTCGGGCAATTTATTAGCGCTAGCAATGGAGTGGAAAGGAGAAGGAGAGGTGCTGATATTGAGAACCAGAAAAAAAATAAGGATGAAAACTGTACTGAAGTTGTTGTCTTGAGACATTGTTACACAGTTTTCAGACAGGGGTGAGGCGATGGATGAGCAAACGTCTGGTCATGCACAGTCAGTCAGTGATGCACTGATTACGAAAAGCACCAATAATGAAAAGGTCAAAGCCATCACGGACTTATTATAGTAAAATAAAAAGTAAGAAGAGAAGCGAAAATAAAAAATGAAAATGTGTCAGGTATAATCATGTCATCACACACACACACACACACACATCTGGTTACTTTTCAGAGTAGCAATATTAGTTAACGAGGAGAAAGGGCATGAATATATTTAAAGAGCTGTTATGCACTTTTCAGCCTCCTTCTCTTACTGTTCACTGTAAAGACTGTAAAGTTTTTGCTCAATAATAGTAACTTTTTTTTCACCATAAGTGTTTTTAATTACATTCTGTGTTATGTTTGCTTGTGTCTAAGTAAGGTCTGTGTTAAAGGTCTGCAGGAGAATGAAAATGAAGCCCAACAGCCCGAACACAGCCTGAAACCAAATATTTTATCGGGCCTCGTCGGGCTCAGGTTGGGTAGCAGACCTCTACTCTGTGTATAAGTGACATAATTTCCACCTATATTAGTTGAATGGTTCTTTTGGTGGCTGTAACAAAGCACTGCTGTAGCACAGCTCTCACAGTAAGAGCAAGCCAGGCTAAAATACAGCCTCCACATAGCGGGGTTAGTCAACATAGTCTCCTAACAACAAGTGAGACGACTGCCTGCACTGTTATCTGCAAGTGATCAGATCGGACTTGTGTGTCCAGACATTGCCAACTATGAATTAGTTGCTGTCGTAATGACTTATGGTGTCGGTCACTACGTAGCTGCGCTGGTAACACGGATTTCACACGCAGATGCCGGAGAAACGGAGGTGCATCATCTCACCCTCCAAACTCTTGAAAATTCTCTGGCATTAGCATGTATTTTTACTTGAATCCCAGCACTTCCGTTACTCTGGGGTTGACATTGTTGGTGTTTCTTGCATTATGAGTGATGCAAAAGACACTTTGAAATCTGCCTTGAGCTGACAGAGCATCCAGGCTGAGAAGCATCAGCAAAAATCCAATTGTAATCTTATTTCAAACCACCTCCTGGTGTGGATCTGATTGGCAAAAATCTGATTTGATTTTGCTGGCCAAACTATGAAACATCAGTCTGGAAACAATCTGGATATGCTAAGAATCGGATTTGGGCTATCAGTCTGAACAAGGCCATAAAACCTTAAGGATGTCTACACTACAAATGGTCAATTGTGCAAAATTGTACAAAAGTGACCGGGGCGCCCAAACGTTTGCCAACGACTGCAGATTTAGATTTAGATAAAAATATAAAAAATAAGAAAACGAGCAGAAAATACAAATAAAGAAGTAAGAAAGTATGTAACTTATCAGCTTTAAAATTTTAAGAGTATCGAGTTGCAGACAGTAGAAGAAGAGTAATCTGTGTTCACATTCTGTTAACTTATTATCTGAAGCTCAACCAATCAAATCACACACCAGGACTTCACAGGTAGACTGGAATAATTCAGTGAAGTGAAGCACCTTGCTGAAAGACAAGCAGCTGATGAGTTATTGTGACTGCACAGTAAATTCACCTTGTATATGTATAACGTCATACTGAAGCAGCGGTCGGCCTGGACCACTCAGTGAGTTACAGATCAGAGTGTAGTCAGAGTTAGAGTATGAGATGCCGTGTGGGGGATTTAAAATAGAAAGAGAAAGGAAATGACACGTTTCTCTCTGAAACTCTTCTACTGTTTGCAATGCTGTGATTAGTTCTTGGTACGTGACAGTCTTACTGAAAACCGCAGCGTAATTACGGTGGTTAATCATTATCAGCTTTGCATGGCAACCGGAGAGAAAGATGAGGAGGGAAGAGGAGAAGAGGAGAGAGGGAGGAACAGAGGAGGAGACAGAGAGGAGAAAAGGTCAAAGGGGTCATGTCACTTCTTCTCCTGTCTCCTACCCTCGCTGTCACTTTGAATGAAAAGCTGAGCCATCTTCACACACAAGCAATGAATTTTAAATAGAGAAAGGGAGAGAGAGAGAGAGAGAGAGAGAGAGAGAGAGAGAGAGAGAGAGAGAGAGAGAGAGAGAGAGAGAACTGAATTTTAATTTAATGCTGGTCTTTTAAAGAAAGAGACAGAGAGAGAGAGAGAGAGAGGAACTGAATTTTAAGTTGTGAGAGATAATAATGTTGGTCTATAAATGGAGAGAGGGGGAGAGAGAGAGAAAGAAAGAGAGAGAGAAAGGAAAAAAGAGACAGAGCGAGACAGAGAAAGAAAGAAAGAAAGAAAGAAAGAAAGAAAGAAAGAAAGAAAGAAAGAGAGAGAGAGAGAGAGAGAGAGAGAGAGAGACAGACAGACAGACAGACAGACAGACAGAGATTAAAGATAAAGAGAGAAAGAATTTTATTTTTAATGCTGGTCTTTTAAAGAGAGTCTCAGAGAGCAAGAGAGAGACAGAGAGAGATAGAGAGAGAGTGAAGACTGGTAGATAGAGACAGAATGAAATTCAAAGAGAAAAGACTGAAAGTCTGGTTGAGAGTGAAAGAGACAGAGACAAAAGACAGAGAAAGAGAGATGGAGTTTTAAAGAGAAAAGAGTGAAATTCTGGTTGAGAGAAAGAGAGACAAAGAAAGAACGAGAGAGACACGGAGAGAAAGAAAAACTGAATTTTAATTTAAACACTCGCCCTTGAAAGACAAACAAAGAACGAGAAGAGAGAGAGGAGAGAGAGAGAGGGGGAGAGAGAGAGAGAGAGAGAGAGAGAGAGAGAGAGAGAGAGAGAATTTCAAAGACCAAACACTCAGATTATGTGATAAACAAAGAAAGAGAACTAAAAGAAAAACAAAAAGGAGAAAAAAAAAAGCAAGACACATACAGAGACAGAGGGAGAGTGAAAGAGTAAGAGCTGGGTTACAAAGAGAAAGCGATAAATGAAATGAGAGATAAACACAAAAAAGACAGGCAGATGGCGGGGAAGGTCGAGTGGTATGCCTCGCTTCATCTCTCTCCGTGAACAGGGGGAGAGTGAGGGACGGAGTGAGTGCAGTGAGGTTAAGGCCGTCATAACCAGGCTAATGCTGAGAGAGATAAGCGAGAGACAGAGAGAGAGAGGCCGGCTCTGTTTCACACATCACTGCTCTCACAAAAAGAAAAGAGCGCTTTCTCTATTTCTCTCTCTCTCTCTTTAAAGCACACTCGCACAACCGCTGCCTACAGCGAGTGCTCTTGAGAGTTTGAGCTAAGCACGTACAGAAAGCAGGATTAGCAGTGAAAGAAATCTGTCAGCAGCAGCAGCGCTACATTACTGTGCACAAGTCTTAGGCTACCTGAGGTGATATCTAAAGCTATTCATCTGGGCAGTAAGCATTTATTTGGTTGGACAAAAACACCAACAATCAATACAGTGCTGTAAAAAAAAAGGGGTTATAGAAAAAAGTTAATACATCAACACAAAGTGAGCTCAAAACAGCTGCACTCTATAATGTTCTATGTTATGTATAATGTTTATCTGATCTACTCAGTCACTCTGACAGACTGTAATACACTACAGGAAGTGTAGGGGGCGATACTGCTTTATAACATTTATATGATCCATTCAGTCATTCCGACAGATTGTAATACACTACAGGAAGCGTAGGGGGCGATACTGCTCTATAACATTTATATGATCCATTCAGTCATTCTGACAGATTGTAATACACTACAGGAAGCGCAGGGGGCGATACTGCTCTATAACATTTATATGATCCACTCAGTCATTCCGACAGATTGTAATACACTACAGGAAGCGTAGGGGGCGATACTGCTCTATAACATTTATATGATCCACTCAGTCATTCCGACAGACTGTAATACACTACAGGAAGCGTAGGGGGCAATACTGCTCCATAATAATGATATGATCCACTCAGTCGTGCCGACAGATTGTAATACACTACAGGAAGTGTAGGGGGCAATACTGCTCTATAACATTTATATGATCCATTCAGTCATTCCGACAGACTGTAATACACTACAGGAAGTGTAGGGGGCAATACTGCTCTATAACATTTATATGATCCATTCAGTCATTCCGACAGACTGTAATACACTACAGGAAGTGTAGGGGGCGATATGGCTTCTGCTGTATCACAATCTGACCAAAAGTACCCTATGAGAAAGATAATCATGCACAGAAAGCTCTGAAATAATGCAATTCTTAGAAGAACATGATTACTAAACAACCTGACAATGAATTTTACTTCTGGTACAATTCTCATTGGGCAGCGTACAAAACCACCTGGTCACAAACTTCCTCAGATTACACAGAGATTACCTCATCTTGATCTAATCGAGCATAATCCTATCATGGATTGTAATCCCATTATGATCATATTATAATCCATCCCACAAAAATTCCCCTTAC